ATTTTTGTTTCTTTCGCGACATTTCTCTCGTAGATTAGTTTGAAATAATGAGACAAATTTCTCTTCGAAAAATGACATTCTTCTAGGGATTAAATTAAACCGGATTAATCGAGAACTTTCAAATGCACTAAAAAAGAAAAATATGCAGCACGTGTCTTTCGATTAAAAATAATTCCATGCTTGATCAAGTATTTGTAAAGCCACCAGAGGAGCGAACTCATGACCCCTGGTTTACAAGACCAGTACTCTGCCACTGAGCTATGATGGCAACGGATTTCGTTCATATTATTCAATGCACACTTTTGCTTCTTTCGCGACATTTCTCTCGTAGATTCGTTTGAAATATATAACGCGAGACACATTTCTCTTCCAAAAATGACATTCATCTAGGGATTAAATTAACGTGGATTAATCGAGAACGATCGAATGCACTATAAAAAGAAAAATATACAGCACGCGTCTTTCGATTAAAAACAACTCCATGCTTGATCACGTATTTGTAAAGCCACCAGTGAGGATCGAACTCACGACCCCTGGTTTACAAGACCAGTGCTCTGCCACTGAGCTATGATGGCGACGGATTACGTTCATATTACTCAATGCTCACTTTTGTTTCTTTCGCGACATTTTTCTCGTAGATTAGTTTGTAGAGTTTTTCAACTCCTCATTCTCGTACGTTTTACATTGCGATCTGCGCGTGCGCGCGACCTCCAGCAATTTCGAATAGTGGTTACTCACGCAGGCACTTAAGATGCAATCTGCGCATGCGTCAGCTTTTCAACTCTTAGCGACCCCGCACATTCACTTCTTCCCCGACTTCACACTTCCCTGGCAGCACACGTTTCCCTCCGAGAGCAGTTACCGAACATGAAAATAAAGCAAGTCATCTAAATCTGAAAACATCGCCTCGTTTATTAATCATCCTGTCTCCCACATTGGTGACCCGAACAACTCACGAATAACTACCTTCATTTAACGCTATTTATTTATTTTACTGGAAAAATGGTTGAAGTCACCGCAGTTAAAATTCCTCCATACAATTTTAGCGACCCTCAACTCTGGTTTTCCACGTGCGAACACAAACTTTTGCCCTCGGAGTACCGAAAGCGATTACAGATACGTGTACAAAATTCAATTATATTGTAGCAAGCCTGCCACCAAAAGCCGCCGCAATTGTAAGAGACTTAATCATCACTCTTGACGAAACAGATCCCTATGGCGCCATTAAAGCTTAACTGATCCAGCGAACCGGCGAGTCATCGCAACAAGAAATTCGGAAGCTATTAACCGGTGAAGAGCTAGGGGACAGGAAGCCATCAGAACTCCTCAGGACAATGAATAGGCGTGCAGCTTCGCACAACGTACCAAAAGAGCTTATGTTGGAACTTTTTCTTCAGCAGCTACCGACTTCAGTGCAAACCATTTTGGCATCCATCACTCCAATAACCGTCGAAAAAGCCGAAGAAGTAGCCGACAGAATCCTCGAAGTGAGCACACCCAACGTTTCACTTTCGACAAACACCATCGCTTCATCCAGCGAAAACCGTATCCTCCAAGAGATTGAGAGACTGAACAAAAGGATCGACAGTCTTACAATGCGTCAAAGGACTCCGGAACGAAGAAAAAATTTTCGCCCACGAAATCGTTCCCGAAATCGATCATTTTCACGTTCTAGGGACTCTGGTTTTTGTTGGTATCACAGAAAGTTTCAAGAAAGGGCCAAGAAATGTATTTCACCCTGCAGCTATACATAAATAAAAACGATTCCAGCGAGGAGTAATTGCGACTACCTTCTCGCAGCCTCATATTTCACGTCACCTTTTCATTAAAGACAAATCATGCAACATCGCTTTCCTCATTGATACCGGATCTGACGTCAGTGTTCTCCCAGCTTCAATTTCCGAGAAAAGGAAAGGCAACAGTATTCAGCAACTAACAGCCGCTAATACATCTGCCATCAACGTTTATGGTAAGAG